TTTCTGAGGTTTTCGCGGGTGTTTGTATGTAGGTCTTTAGTTATTCGGGTTTTCTCCCGTGTAGAATTAGAAGTGTCTTGGCGACGTTTTGTCAAAACGTCACCAAGACACTTCTAATTTATTTATTTATTTATTTATTTATTTATTTATTTATTTATTTATTTATTTATTTATTTATTTATTTATTTATTTATTTATTTATTTATTTATTTATTTATTTATTTATTTATTTAAGGCAGCCAGGAACTCGTCTCTGAAGTAAAGCGGTATGCACAAAATGGAAAAATATGTTCATTGCAGATATTCTGCAGAAAGATTTTAGCTGGGCTGTGGTTCAGCAAAAAGAAAACCAAGAACACTTTGGTTATTTCAGGATTTGGATAAAACATAACTAGACAGATTCTAGAGTAATTAGGCATCACCTTATAGGGGAGATGCACGGCATACAAATTTAATAAACAAACAAATAGCACATGTGGTTCCCCCTCTTCCCACAGCAGCTGCCAACATGGCACATCCCACCTGCTTGTCCATTCTCATCTTTTCATTGCCTTCTGTCGTCTCTCCATCCTGTTTCCCCTGAGCAGCTGATTTACCAGTGCAACATGTCCCACTAGTTTGCCATTCCTAATCTTCCTAATCCATTCTCTTCCCTCCCTCTCTTCAGCTAACACCACCAGTGTCCCAGTGGAGCTTATCCATATGTCTACCCATACCTTATGATTTTCTTAGCACCTTCATGTCCTTTCTTTACCCCCTGCTACTGTATGTACTGGCCTGCATTCCTGTTTCTTTACGTTCCACCAATTTGCCTGATGTCCTGTATTTGCTTCAATTTTGAGTTCCTGGTGTGAGGAGGGAAAAGCAGACAGGTGATCCACTGGAATCAAAGCAGTGACTAAGCCAAGAGAGTGAGAATGGAAAAAACTTTCACCATTTGCTGAGGAAAGGTGCTGGGGAGATGGATTGACTGAGTAGATGGGAGTGCCCGTGGACAACAGCAATTCCTTTCATCCATCATGACTTTAGATGACACGTCTTTGCAGACAGCAGTTGGAGAAAAATATTCCTTTAAAAGTTCCCCAGGCTCCTAAGAGAATGGCATTCCATAGAAGGCTATCTTCATAAGGGTCCTAACTTCAGTTTTAGAAATTGGCAGGTCAACCTTCAGATTTAACAGATATCTCCTTGACTCCCAATGAAGTCAAGATTTTAACTGTAGAAAAAATCTGGACTCATTTAAAGATTAGGGTTTTCATTAGTATTTTGTACTTCGATAAGTTTAATAAAATGATTATTTAAAAAAGATTAGGCAAGATTTTATCAAAACTAATATGAACCAATTTTAGGGGCATGGCTGAGGTCACAGGATAGAAAAAGAAAAGTCTCAATGCCGTAAACTCTCTGGGTCTTTGCACCCTGATTCTGTCCTTCTGCCTTTGGAAATAGTGCCTTATCTTTAAGGGGGCGCCTCATGTAGCATTCACCTGGTGAGCCTGGTGTATGAGAGAGAGAGAAAGCTTCTACAGTAGTGATGCTTTACGAAGATGAAAAGATAACCATGGGGAAAAAAAGAAATAAATTCTGCAATAAGAACAGAATTACAGGTCTCAACACATCCAGGGAGAAAGACTACTACTCTCTTGGAGATGAATAAATTCAAAATTGTAGGGTTTTTTTAAAAAAAAAAAAAAAGTAGAAAAGAGATTGTAGTCTTGAGACAGAATTGCCTAAAATATAAGTAAGGGGATGGTGATAATATACTGATTGAAGGCAACATTCTCCCCTAGCAGACTGGTTCTGCTAATTCTGAAGGATGACCTCTTCTCATAGTGGATATCAGCAGCAATCAGAGACTGCTCACTACAGTTTTGCTCCATTCCCTCAAAGTTCTGCCTTTGTTTTAAAAATGCTCAAAATGTCTATCTTTCACTAAAGAAATATTGCATACACAGTATGTGTTATCTAGGACAGTGTTTCTTAACCTTGACAACTTTAAGTATGTTGGCTTGGGAATTCTGGGAGTTGAAGTTCACACCTTTTAAAGTTACTGAGGTTGAGAAACACTGATCTAGGGCATCACCCTCATAAAGTTGTTGCTTCTATTTCTGGAAAGCAGCTTGTGAATATCTGGGCCTGTCTGGGTTGCTGGTTGACATTACCAAGGCAAATGCCTAAAGAAATGCAGAACATTTTAGTTAGCTAAGTCATCCTAAACAAACCATTTTCACTGTTGAAAACAAAGGGAGGGCAGAGGCTAGAAATCCATTCTGCACAAACAGGTTTATAATAAATGCATACTTTCTTCCTTTGAATAACATTTTTGAACAATTAATGCTAATTTTCTCTTCAGCATTATGTATTTCCTATTTGTTACTTAGGTATTTTGTATTTTTGTCAGAGAAAAGCCAAGATGGAGGTAGGTAGGTAGGTAGGTAGATAGATAGATAGATAGATAGATAGATAGATAGATAGATAGATAGATAGATAGATAGATAGATAGATAGATAGATAGATAGATAGATAGATGAGAGAGACAGATAAATTTAGAGGAGAGAGATAGATTATATACACAAACATCAGGAATCCTAGTCACAGGAGCCTCCATCTTCCCTTTCAGACTTCTCTTAATTAGGAGCTGTGTCATCTTGAAAAGCCTGCCCCAAAATACCAAAGAGAAAGGGTTTTTCCAGCCAACTGCCAAAGGAGCAGTTCATCTTTTACCAAAGACACAAATAATAAAAAAAAATAAAAATCCACACTGGAGAGAGAAAGGAATGGGCAAATAATGTATTGAAAAGAGGACTTCCAGTATTGTCATTAAGGTTCTTCCACCTCACCCTCTTTTTAAAAAAGAATAGGCTACTGTGATCACTCAGGATAGGCAACCCTGCTCCCTCTAAATGTTTCAGGTGACCATTATAATTTGGGACTCTTAGCAATGGGCATGACAGAAGATGTGATTATAACCTCCCCCTCATCTAACACAATTCAAGGTGTGTTTACAAGTTTTCGAGTTCAGTATCAGTAGGTAAACTGAATATATGGTAGCATATTCCTTTTCAAACCTACTTGGTACTAATAAAGGAGAATATTTGTAACTCAGGGTTGAAATGAAGGCTCCTTGGTGCTCTCTGATGTTGGCTTTTGTTCAGCATTGATGATACTATTTAGTTTTGGATAATGGAAATATGGCCCATTGAAACGCATTACAATTTACTCAAACGCAAATATATGTACTTTTAAGTACTGTTGAAGTTGATGAGACTTGTTTTTTCTAGCCAGATCAATGTAAGGTTTTCTGATAATAAAAAAGACAGGTTGTCTTTCTTTTTCAATGACAAAATGTACTGCAAATCATTTATGTTTTATAATGGTTTTATTAACAATAGGCAACTAATCTATTCCAGATAGGTTTTTCAAGAGAACAGGTGCAGTTTGACAGGTTTAAGCTATGAGGGTAGTTCCTGATAGTCATTCTTCTACTGATAATCTCAGTAAGTGAGAATTTTTAATATGGTGGTTTCCAACCCTGGGTTGTGTTGAAACCATTCATTCCTAAGAATGAAAAGCTGTTATTAAACTTGGCTTTCTATTTGTTTTACCAGCTGCCCAAAGTTCTGTTTTAAGATGGGCAGCTATATGAATCTTTTAAATAAATACTGCCTGTGCATTTGCAAGGAAGCTGTGTATGGATGCAATCTGAACCATATCATAGAGTCCTTCAGACTCAGTAGGTGGCGTTTTATTTAAAAATATATATTATTACCTTATGGTCATATATACCATATTGCCTCTAGTAGTTCAAATTGGATTACTTGGAATCTCCCCTCATTTTATTCCCATAACAATAAACCTGTGAGATGGATTCAGCAATATTGGTTGGCTTGATTGCCCAGTATGTTTCATGTCTGCATGGAGACTTTAATTAATCCCGGCCTGATGCTTTAACAAGCATGTGATCAAACAGGAATACTTATATATTTCTTAATATGCAAAATTAAATTATGCATGCTCTGTGCTATGATTTTTGCAATGTAGGAAAGGAGTTTCATATATGCTAGGTTTGTAGCTTTCAGCTCAATATTCATGAGGTCCCTCTCATAATGGTTTGGGTAATGAAAAGTTTTAAAGTGATAAAATGCTACACCAGATTCTAAGGTATACACATGCAAGGCTGAGTTTTGCCTCAGGTGAATTAAAAGTATGTGCAACCTGGAATATGTGCTTCTGAAGGCTGTTGGATGGAAGTAAGCAAATTACTTTATTAAAAGTAATAGTTCTGTAGTTTGTAGAAAAAAACATAAAAACTCTGTATTGTAAAGAAGAGTGTTATTAGGGAACAGTAAGACAGTAAATCGTAAATTATGTGACTATAGATGAAGTGTTTAGGATGAAATCGAAATCAGATGTGAAACATGATATAAGCTATAACTTTAGGATACTTTTTTTCCTTTTCCTCTAACTGATTCATTTATCGAACTTGGTGCCTGCTGCATGGGAGATAAGTTGAATGCTTGTAGAGGATACTTGTTTGAAATGGTAGCATTAGGTAGAGCTTTCTTTAGACTCTAAACCAGGGATCTCCAAACTTGGCAACTTTAAGACTTGTGGATTTCAACTCAGCCAGCATAGCTGGCTAAGGAATCCTGGGAATTGAAGTCCACAAGTCTTAAAGTTTCCAAGTATGGAGACCCCTGATCTAAAGACTATGGTTTTTCCCAGATCTGAGCTAGAGCAGAATATATCTGTACCAACACAGCATACTTGCAATATCTGACTACTTTTTCCTCTTCTTTTTCTCTTTCTCTCTGCGCTTCCTAACAGGTTTGGCACAATGACTTGTCATACAGGGCCTTAGCAGCGTGGCAAAAGTTGGCTGTTTTTAAGTTGCCTTCCCCCTTCCCCCTCTTCCTTCACGTCTGGAATATCTGAGCTGGCTTCGCCTCCCTGGGTGTTCCTTTCCTGCTGCCACTTGCTGCGGAAGGGACCAGTCTACCATGGCCGGGGACAAACTTCCACACAAAGTGATGGATCCCAAGAAGCTTGCCAGTCTCTTGAGAAGTGGGACCGAAGGAATGTTGGTCATTGACAGCCGCTCCTTTGTGGAGTACAACTCCTGGCATGTTCTCAACTCTGTCAACATCTGCTGTTCCAAGTTGGTCAAAAGAAGGCTTCAGCAAGACAAGGTATCCATCACAGAGCTCATCCAGCCAGCCTCCAGTATAAAGGTACTTAACCATGGTCCTTAGTTATCAACCAAATTCAAATCGTAGTGTGACTCAGTGTTCCTCTCATAAGTCCTAATTTTAAAGAACACACCATACTGTGTGTAGCAATGCAGTAAGGTAGGTTAGGGTTTATTTATTTTTTAAAAACTCGCAAGGTCGAAATTTCAAATGCCAGTCCTGTGTAGGAGTTCAGAAATAATTTTACAGCCCTTTCCTTTTATGCAGTTTTGTATTTATCTCCTCCTGTGGAGATTTTTTCATATCTGATTGTAGCTAGAATTGCTGCATGATAGAAAGCAGAGGTGGGATATCTCTGGATCTAACTTCTTAAGTTTCCTGTTTATTGATAATGCTGGTTGGGGTTCAGCGATATGTAGAGTACTGCAATATCCACATTTTTGTTATTTTTTTTATAAAGAATAAGAACTCCAAAGAACTCCATGTGATGTGTAATACCATCTTAAACCAAAACATGGACAGAAGAAAGCCGAACGTTATCTAATGTTAGTATAGCATGGGTGCTGGGTAAAATGTACTGTTTCCTTTGGGAAGGAGGGTCTATTGAAGAATCTGGAGTTTTGGTTTTACGAACTCACAGATTACATGAACTTGCACTTTTCTATCCCTGTTTAGGGCCAGTGTTTTATTTCTTCCCTTCTGATTTATCTATTATTTCTCTTATTCCTGGGACTTGTCACACAGATGTTATAATATGGAGACTGTGTATTGTATCTTTATGGCTAGTTTGATTTGTGTGATGTCATTATTGAGAACAAACGAAGCCAATTCAAAATGAGCTTTCTTTTATGATATCAGAAAATCCCTCTACATAAAAAAACAACAAGAATGAATGGGCAGAGGGTTTGTGGAAGGGGAATGATCCTTACTCAAAAATATAATTAATACAAAATGTACATTTTTAAAATGAGCCTGTCAACCAAGACAATAAAGAAAGCCACTAAAGTTTGTCTGATAATTTTTTCAAGCAGGAGTATAATTCAAAAAATACAGAACTGAAGAATTAAAAGGTTAACTACTGTGCTTTAGTTATGTTGGTAGAAAGTAGCTTATATGATTTAAATGTTCAGAGGAATATGCCTGGTTAAGAAAGCATCCATACAGCTTTAACACAGAAATCTTGCATCACCAACTATTTGGAGGTGATAACAAGTAAAAACATGGCAAAAATCCAGTAAATTCTACTTGGATAGTCAAAAAAATGTTGACAGTCTTTCAACAGAAGCTACTTAGCTGACCTAGGCTATGAATCAGTTCCTGTATGGATAGACAATTGATTAAAACAGGAAGGAAAGGACAGAAGAAATTCTATGGGAGCTATTCAACATCCCATTCAATAATTTACAGCAGCACTAATGTTATATAGTTGTTTTACGTAATCTGCACTTCAGAATGAAATTGAATTGAATCACTGCTTATAGGATAGGCTGAAAAAGGAAGCATTAGTGGATTTAACATCTCTCTCTCTCTCTCTCTCCCTCCCTCCTTCTCTCTCCCCTCTCCCTCTCCCTCTCCCTCCCTCCCTCCCTCCCTCCCTCCCTCCCTCTCTCTCTCTCTCTCTCTCTCTCTCTCTCTCTCTCCCCAGTATCTCTCATAGTATAATGCTCCAAATTATATGTACCCAAAAATACTGTATATAAGAACAAATTTATTGTTAACTTTAGTCACTTGTTCAGAATTCAAAACATACATTTAAGAATTAGGAATGATTATATCAGGCATTACACAATGCTTTCATTGATAATATTAGTTTTCTTCCACATTCCCCACATTCCCACATCCCTGGAAACCAATATCCTTGTTTAGCTATGAATGGAAAAATAATGGGAAGATTAGAATAAATTATCTGAAACGGAATTAGCTGGTTAAGATATGTAAAATATGTAAAATGCTTTGTGGAATTTCCATTGCAGTTCTACCTAAGGCTAATTCTGCTTCTCTCTGAACTCCTGGCCAGATGCATATATTCTGTTCTCAAGAATTTCAGGTTAACAGAGGTATAATCCTTTGAAGTAGGATTTATGTCAGTGAAAATTACTGCAGGCAGAGCAAACTTTGTGCTGAAAGAGGAAGAGCGTGGGCAATCCTTTTACCTTTCTAAGGGCAGCCTTGGATGTCCATGGATGTCAGAAAAGTTGTATATGTTCATTTAGCTGAGAAAGTGCTGAGTTCTACTTTTCTGAAATTGGAGAGGTTACTAATAAAGGAGAATATTTGTAGCTCAAGGTTGAAATGAGGGGTCCTTGGTGCTCTCTCAAGCTTGGTTATTTTCTTGCGGGTGTTTCATTACCCGAACTAGGTAACATCATCGGTTCTAGTGCTAACGTCACTAGCACTGATGATGTTACCTAGTTTGGGTAATGAAACGTCTACAAGAAAACAACCAAGCTCAGAGAACACCAAAGACCCCTCAGAGTGACTACTGTAATGGATTTGAGAGTCTGCAGGATGGAGGTAACTGTAAATATTCCAAAGCAGTATAAAGCCGCTACTCTCTGCCAGTGAAAGTCAGGGGTAGGGCTCAAGATGGGACAGAAAATTTGAAGGTAGTCCTCAACGTAACAACCATTCATTTAGCAACTATTCAAAGTTGCAACACCACTGAAGAAAGGGGCTGATGACCAGTCTTTGCAATTACAACAGTTGTAGCTTTCCCATAGTTGTTTGATCAAAATTCGGGTGCTCGGCAGCTGGCATGTATTTACCATGATTGCAGCATCCCAGGGCCACGTAGCCACCATTTGTGACCTTTCTAATTGGCTTCTGATAAAGTTAATTGCGGAGTTAACAGATTTGCTTAATGGCCACCTGATTCACTTTAACAGTTGCAGTAATTCATTGAACAACCTTGGTTAAAGAAGGTATCATAAAATTGGATGTGACTCAATAATTACCTTGCTTAGTAATGGAAATTCTGGTTCCAGTTGTGGCCATATGTTGAGGACTACCTGTAGCAAGGACTGTAGCAATAGATTTCCTATTTGGGCCTTGGACTCAGATCTTTTCAAGAAGAAGAACTGGAATCTGTAGGTAAAGCTGATAGAGGAAGTACAGGCAGAAGCATCAGGAATGTTTTATCTCCTTTCAGTTGCTTCTGTGCTTACTTGGATAGCTGGCTGAGGAATTCTGGGAACTGAAGTCCACACATCTTAAACTTGCTAAGGTTGAGAAAAAATGGCAGTTTTTACCCATGTTCACATTTAATGTCCTTCTGAGGTTTTTTTTTTTTTTAGTGGTTAATGTAGTGGTTAATGATTGCTCGAATTTGCATATAGAGGCCTCGTAACTTAGTTTAGCTCTCTTATTTCTGAAATACATACTTTGTCTTTTTTACTATTTTTAAAATCCTTTATTTATTGTTATTTTAGTATGGGACTTACCCAAGCACCATGCATTGTTTGGGCCTTGTTTTCTGAATAAAAGGGGGAGACTGGAGCAGCTTGTTTAAAAACGTAGTCCTGGAGAAGGGGATTTCCCCTTCTGTTTACCCAGATTCCAGAATATTGTCAGAAAAGGGGAGGGATATCTTCTCACACCAGAACAGGTGGCAGCTGCTTAGCTTATCCTGAGTGGAATTCTTCCAACTGAGGTTGGAAGCTATACCAGATACCCGGAGGGAGATATCTGTCAGGCTTGTGTTATATGATTAGTACAGCCACCCTTGCTAAAACTACTAATGGCAATTCAGAATTTTCTATGAAATGATGAATGCAGATCTGTCATTTGATTTATTTGGCTATTCTCTCTGTCTGGCCTTTTAGGACTCCCCACTAGCTTCTGCTCATATCTTTTTAAACATTTTTCCCAGTCTTATTATCCTGCCCTACTCTCTTGTTTGACAGATGGCACAGGTCCAGTTCACCTAAGACATTTCTACCATAGTACTTCCAAAGCAAGCAGGTTGAGTCTCTTAGGTTTAGCAATCTCAGACTTCCAGGGTCTTGAAATGAATTGTAACTGTCTAGAAATGCACTTTAATTTCTATGCTCCTCTTTTAGATTGCAATTCACAACTAGGAACAAGGGAAGGGGTGATATTTCCCAGAAAACTATGTGGTCTAACAAGGGAACTCACAGAGGTTGAAGCTGCATGGTCATTCAAAGGGATCTAGAAAGACAGCCCCTATAGGTCAGTCGAATCAAAGTTGCATCGTCTTATAACATGAAGGGGCAGAATTTAAATCATTGATCTTTTGGACTACTGTATTTAAAAAATAATAATAGGCAGACTTCCTTTTCCCTTGTTTTAAATTAAATGCTGGAATGAAAAAGATGGTGGAAGTGGAGAGAGGGAAATAGGTTTATTTGTGAAAACCCCAACCTTGCTAGTACAAATTAATTTGGGGGCTAGAAACCTGGGGTTACTGTGTTGCTCAATTCTGTGTCTATGTTCCTTCATGGTTCTGGTGTAGGATAACCTCCACTTTCAGTCCAAAGTGAGAAGGATCCTTTGAAGCAGGCATACATTAGTTGGGTGTTCTTTTAGGAAGTTTTCTATTTTCCTAGTTCTGTAGGGGAACCTCATGATCCCAGGAAAATCTGCATTTGAAATATAAGTGTGGCAAGGTGCTTTGAAGTAGGCAGAGATATATCCTTGGTGCTTCCTTGCCTCCAAAGACATATTTCCCTGTGTGAACCCAAGACGTTTTGTAAGGCTTTGTGAACACAGGCATGGCATGTGTGCTCAGGCCTACTTCAAGTCGACTTTTTTGGTTTGGATCAGAAGTGTAGCATTTATTAGGCTGCTTTTAGCTCTTTTAAATAGATCTCTGTTCCAGTAGTTTCTACAGTTCTGAAATTTCCATAGCTCTGTTCTATAGTGAAATTATGCTTGGTTGTCTATTTTTCATAACATGGTTGGTTACATGGTAGAAGAAAAAGAATGGGACGTGGTTTTAAAAGAAGTCAAGGGGTGGTGTGAGGAAGGTTGTGTTTCAAGGAAATTTCAGCCTGGAATTTCTTTCCAAATAAGCGCAGCACACA